CACACACACACACACACACACACACACACACACACACACACACACACACACACACACATTTGTATAGGCTGTATTGTGCACACTCATGCTAAATAGGAACACACAAGCAGATATAACTGGTTTTGGAAAAATCCCTATCACAAAAGTGATGTATTAAAAATGCATGTTAACTCACAAACAAGCCAAAGATATTGCATTGCCTATATTGTCAAACAAATAAGTACACCCTCACATTGGAGAAGTTGCAGCCAGGATAGTTTGCATTTTAGTTTTATGACTAAAACTAAAGATTTTAAGCCAATTAATTGGTTTTCCATTGACTAAATCTTGCCGCTCTAATTAATTATTTAGATTTCGTGTGACACAGGTACACATTATGAACACAGAAAACAGCTAACATTGAGGCTGGAGAACACACACACGCACGATTAGGGACATCATCTCAGAAGGAATTCTACCATCTAACCATGTGTATTCTCCCATTCACTTTTAGCAGCTGGAAAGCACACATCCACACACACACACACACACACACACACACACACACACGCGCACGCACACAATAAAAGCAGGCTATCCCTGTCCTACTCTTAAACTGGATTCATCCCAGGTAAGAAACCTGTTCTTACTTGACTCTCTCCTTTCCTTTCCTTGCACCCTCCCTCCCTTGCAGCTGCATTCCTCCCTCCGCGGTTACACCTAATGACCGCTATCTCTTTCCCTCTTTGCCCAGTGGTTAAAATAAGCCCCTCCTGACACTTCCACTGGCAGATTAACACGACAGCATTAACAGGTGCCAATGCTATTATGTTTGGAAACGCATACTGACTCAATGAAAGCGCCGCGTGTAGACGCAGTGCTGCATGCGGCAGGCTGCTGTGATGCTGAACAGGACTGGAAACAGTTACATCTGTGTGTTGTGGTATTTAGGGGGGAAAGTTGTTGGAATTGTAAGGTGCTGCTTGTCAGAGCTGTGCGTGAGAGTATTATATTTTTATTTTGCATCTGCAAAAGCTGAGAGATAAGAGAAATAAAATTCATAAAAACCACTTACAACACTCGCAGATGCCTCAGTCCTGCAAAATCCACCTTGGTGATTTTAGTGAGGTTGTTTGCATTCAGATCCCTGGAGAGAGAAATTGGGAAAGAACAGACTGTCAGTAGGCTACATGAGATATGACATGTTAATCAAACAAAGAAAAAGCAGGTGGGCCACTGGAGGGTTTTTGTTGAAACTTGGTGTGCTGTGGCCGATGCAGAATTTCATTTGAGCATCAGAGAAATTGAAAAGAGCTGCTGCGCTATAGGCAATTTTTAATGTTATCAAGGGGGCTCTCACTAATAAAATACGGCTTGTTTAACTCAAAGCCCACTTGTCCAAATCCGTTTTTGATTAACTTGCTGGTCTCCAGACAAACCGATGTGGTCTACGGAGGCTGTGCTAATGCAACAGTGCGAAACCACCAACACAACCACAGCAGTGCCCCTAACTTCAGCTCCGCGATCAGCAAGAGCGAATCCCCACATTAAACACATGCAGGAAGAACCAAAAGATGTTTCTACAATTTAAAAACACAAGGTAGATTTAGCAGCATTTACAGGTCCTGAGTTTTAACGTGTTCGTTCACGTGTCACTGCGCTAAGATGGTCCCCAAGGAAACAATCCTCCTAATACTATCAGCGTGCAGTTTAAAAGGACCGAAAACACTAATGTAACCAGATTATAAAAAAAATAGGAACATTATAATCATAAAAATATTTGTGGAAATATAATGAAGGGTGGGCTATCAAATACCAAAAAGTGAGATAAGATTGCTGTAAACTCTTAAGCTTTTTTCAGGAGAAGCATATATAAAATATATATATTTCTTAAATGCATTAAGGTAACCGCATTTTTTTTCCATAATTGACGCACGAATAATTTGAGATTCTAGTGTTTTTCCCGTGTGAAGTGTCTTGTCTGGAAACGGCGCTTTAACCCCCCTCGGTATAGGCTACTCACAGTCTCTCGGTGTTGCGGGGGATATTCCTGGGCACGCTGCGGAGACCTTGGCCGTGACAGTCCACGGTAGTCCCGGTGCAGGAGCACTGCGCCGGGCAGGGCTGTCCGTCCGCTCCGCCGGACAGGACCGAGAGCAGGACGGCCAGCAGCCCCAGCGCAGTCACCGGGGAGCGGCCGGGGCCAGCGGGGCTCAGAGTTCCCACCATCATTGCGGCAAGTGGGGGCCAATATGAGACCCACAAAATACCGAGAAAATACAAGGGCGTTCAAAAATAAAAGCCCTGAAATCCCCGAAACAGCTCACCAAACTCTGCACGCAACGGGATGCAGTCCTCCTTTTCGTTGTCCTCCCCTCAGACCTGGGATTCTCAAATGTATCGCTCTAAAATTCACATTTGGGTCTTCTTAGAGGGGTTTCTATGTATGAAAGCTGTGAATTAGGAATTTGCCCCCACTTGAAAGGGAGACGAGAGGTTGACGAGGCGGTGGACCGGCTCTCTGGCTGCGCTACAGCGGCGCAAACTTCCACATGTCCCCGGCATGCGGTGCCCAAAATCCCCCCGGTGTGTGTTGTGTCTGTAAGTGTATGAGCGTGTGCTGAACCAAGCCAATAAAACACCTCACTGCTTGATCTGATCCAGAGAAACAAACTCTCAGACACACTTTACTGCATACAAACACACGCACTCCAGGTGAGGCTGTCTTAGTTATGAATTCATAACACGCGTCCAGAAAGGAGACCGCGCTCGGTTCTCCCAAAAAGCTCAGCAGAGGTCACCGAGGAGGAATGATATTGATCCAGATAATATATCAATGGCAAGTCAGTGCCAAGGGTGTAGGCAGTGTGAGGGAGGGAAAAAAGCCCCGTCAAAGACCAGCGCGCAATAGTATAATCCAACTTTGCGTGGTGCGTCAAGCGCTGCTCCCGAGAGTGTGTGTGTGAGAGAGAGAGAGGGAGAGAGGGAGAGAGAGAGAGAGGGAATGGAGAGGGGGAGAGACGAGAGCGGGCACGTCTGCTACTGCGTCTGTCCAGGCAACTCTCTCTCTCTCTCTTCTTTCTCTCGTCTCTCTCTCTCTCTCTCTCTCTCTCTCTCTCACACACACACACTGCGTTTTCCCTCAAAGCAGCAGGTTTCCAACTGGCCGTCAGTCAAAAAGCAACAGTATGACCTCGGTAGGGGACTTCTCGCTGCAGTGTCCCGGTCACCTGATGCTTTATTTATCCGGCCTCAGGAAGGCGACAGAGCTTCTTGGTGAAATCTAAAGTGGACAAATATAGCCAAACCCCATCTGATTATTGTTAAATGTCCTCACAGCTGAAACTAAGCAATACAGTGCTGTATCTAAGACACATTTTTCTTGCTCTGTTGGCTTCAGTGTCCAGTTGAAAGACACATTAAAATGACACCTGTCCCATGGTGGTTTCACACTTGTTGTTGGGACAGTATTCATATACAAAGTAACTGCACTGCATTATGCAAACTCTAATAAAGGTATAGTTTTAATTATCAAAAGCAGTTGCTCTAAGCCTTAAGAATTAGGAGTTTATTTAAGTTAGAACATTAAGCAAATTGGAGACACATACTTACACCAACCAAATCAAACTTTAAGAAACAGTTTTTTCATCCTTGTTAGGTAAAAGGTTAGTCAATGTTATGAAATGCTATACAAACAAAGAAGCAGCTTCTGGACATGTGCACATGTAATCTTGACATTTGCAAAAGTAGAGTTTTTGCTGAAGTTTAATAATGTGAATACGCTCAGCAATTGCTCATGTGGAATCCATATATTGAGAATGACTGTTTTCTCAAAGAGCTTTAGTTATGATTTACTATGTGCCTATACTATGTCCCTGTTATTGACAATATAAATGCCATCACTTCTTCAATAATGTGTGTTTCATTAGCAGAATTATAAAGATTGGCTTCTCAGCACTACAGTCGCTGTGGCAGTAAATAACGGGTGTCACGCAAAATAAACAAATAACTAGGTCTGCACATATTTTACAATTTTAATATTGACATAACAAAAAGATGGTATCGCTTCGGAATATATCCCCAAAGATAAAAAATGTTATCAGTAGTAGTTTTGTAATCAAATCTCCAGTCTGCTTGAGGTCTCTCGGGTCTGAAGCTTTTGGAGTTCAGTTGGTGCCTATTTTGATTCTTCATCAGGGATCAGTGACATATCATATCAAAAAGAGAACAGATGTGCAGGGAATTCTGTCTTCCTCTCTCTCTGTCTGTCTCTGTTGATCCGTCTCCGGCTTCTAAGACAGAATACAAACAGCTGTGGGTGATTGTAATGCTGATGTGTGCTCACTGTGTGTGTGTTTTATACTGCTCCCCCTTATCCCTCATCCCAGCATTCAAACAAACACCCACACAATCACACACTCAGTCTACAGTCTACTCAGACAGTGGTTTTGGGGGTGAGGGGGATAAGAAACAGGAACGATTTGTAATATTGCGGGAAAAAGGGGAGGAGTCAGAGGCATGACAGCAGACAGGAGGGTAGAGGCCGGCCATTGATGGAGGCGTATCATGGCTGAAGGGAGGCGAGAGAGGAAGCGTGACCCCCTATCTCCTGCAACACAACGCAGCTCCAGGGCACAAAGCCTGTTCAGACACAGCCTGAACTGACCTGCCCTCCTCTCATACACACATCAGATTACACCTACCGCCGAGGTCAAGCTACAAGATTGTTTAAATTGAGCTGGGGGCAATGCAGAGGAAGTAACTGCTTTTCCACTGATGTTTTTTACAATTTGTCCAGTATATCTCAATATTTGATTGTTTATCAAATTAACAGTCAGATAGACAAGTCAAGTGCAGTCAAATGTATTAATGAAGCTTATATAATAAACAATTACAAGAGAGATCATTGCAAACTTTTACGGCATAGTACTTTGCATGTCCTAAGATTATGTATTCAACCAAGGAAAATAAAAAACAAGACAAAAAGGAAGGCAGAGAGTGCACGTCTCTGCCATGGCCAAGCTATCTTCAAATGTTAAGGAAAGAAAACGAAATAATTCACCCTGTGATTTCCAAAATGTGCCGGTTCTTGCTTGATCCATTCTAAACCCTTCCTGCATGTTGCATGAAAATCAAGCCAGTAGTTATTTTGTAATCCTGCTGACAAATACAAACAAACGGAATTAAAGACAAAAGGTAGCAAAACCCCTATAATGGAGCAACCTCAGCAAGAGCAAAAGAGGGATTCTACTTCAAGAGCTGGTAAACCTACACTGATGATTTACATACACAGATTAAACAAAAACAACAGTAGTGCAATTACAGTAAAAACAATATTTGGTTAATAGAGATACAAAAAGTGGTTTGTCCTTTCAAGCTTCATCATGCAGAAACGTTTAGTTACAAAAACTGCTATACAAAAAAGGGTGTTTCAGTGCAGATTTGTCCATATCTGCATTTGAAGCTTTGATATGTTGCAAAGTAAGCACAAGAGAATGAACTCAGAGTTGTGACATGGCTTACTAGTTAAAAATAAGACCCTCCCTGAATGGAGGATGTGTGCATGTTAAAAGTTCATTTCATCTGAGCCCAAATTAGTTGTTTTCATATTTTGAGGGTAGAGAATATGCAAAACAAGTAAAGTGCCTGGACTATTTAAAGGAAATCTTAAGATGAAACACATAATAGTACCACCGGTTTAAATCTTTGTGGTTCTCACGAGGTAAAACTGTTATCAGCCCTGTAAGATGAACAAAGATCTATTATTTTCAGAGCTCAGGAAGTGAAATGAGCCTGTCAATTGAGACAGGTGCAACTTGACAAACTTGAATTACGTTTCTAGAAGCGGAGTAAAGACAGAGTTTTAAACCACGGCACTCTATTTTTGTGTTGACTTTATATACTCCACCATACCAATAGATATAAATATGTGTTTTTTATTTAAAGATATTGCACATTTGAGTGTTAAAACAATAAATAATCACCTCTAAATGTGCTTGTTTTAACCCAATACCCAAGACCTTGACTCACTTAACTGGTTCTGTTCTGTCAGACTCACACTTTATGTTGTGTGTAATGTTTTGTGGTAAAGGAATAAATCATGTTTTGATTGATGAAGATCTGGAGCAGTGAGAAGGTAAGGCGTCTTATTTGAGACTGAGGAGTCATTGTTGATTGTACAAATAATGAATGGAGTCTTTTACAATTGAATTGATGTCATACCATCAAGACAGCTCATACCACAATAGATTAAATGTCACCCAATAATGCCACATATAAATAAAGACTTCCGCCAATTGACTTTCACATCATAAGAAAGAGAAAACATTGCTACACACCTCAAACTTTGCAGGGTCCCTCAATTAAACAGGTGGAAGCATGCAGTAATCATGAAGCCACAATTTAAATCTGCATTCATACGTATCTATTCTCAAAAAAATGTCAATGCTTTGTTTGGCAGGTTAAGAGGGCTGCAGAGCTGCTAATGAGAAGTGAATCTGTCTGAAGGCTGTGATGTTGGTGCTGCTCAATCTAGCCTGTTGATTTAGGAGCTGTTTGTGTTATCTTTGGTTTATGGCCATGCAGTAAAGCTGAAGGTGTGTGTGTGTGTGTGTGTGTGTGTGTGTGTGTGTGTGTGTGTGTGTGTGTGTGTGTGTGTGTGTGTGTGTGTGTGTGTGTGTGTGTGTGTGTGTGTGTGTGTGTGTGTGTGTGAGTGTGTGTGTGTGTGTGTGTGCACGTGCGCAGAGGTCAGTTCAGCCACCTGGCCTCTGGACAGCTGCTTCTGAGGCACATGCTACCCACAGCTCGTCCTACTGTATGTGTGTGTGTCACATACACACGCATGGGCACGCGCACACACGCGCGCACACACACACACACAGGAAAAAATGCTGTTTAATCCATCGATGTATTATTAAACTCATTAATCAAATCAGCGATATATATGTCATCATCAGATTCACATAGTTTGTGTGTGTGTGTGTGTGTGTGTGTGTGTAGTCCCCGATAATCACATCATTAAAAACCAATGATGTTTGTGTTTGGACTGGCACAGTCAACACAGGGACTGGTGACACAGCTGTATGAAGAGACACACAGACATATACACACACACACACACACACACAATGCCACACCAAAACAAACAAACAGCTACATTAAAAAAACAAAACTCCTCCTCTGTCTAGGTTTCCATTATACTCTCCCAGCTGTCAGTTTCGTGCTGATGTGACCCGTCCATGAGGTGTATTGAAACTGGGTTGAGCCCCTGAGGTGTGTTAGTGACTGGTTACCTTTGTTGTGATGGGACTGAGAGTTGTCTGTCTCACACACCCAGACACTGAGGCCCGGGGAGATGCTGAGGAAGTGAACAGGATCTCATGGAGGGGCTGGTATGTTGGAAAATCTCCACTCCTCTGCTGCTGGAGAAAGGTGTGTCTGGTTTCACATGTCAACTGAAAGAAAGACAAAGAGAAAGAAGAGGTCCAAAAGTGTGCCACAACGATGATGTTGAGTTCATTTGTTTGTGGATTTAATCATTACATTACGGTCTTTCAACAGTTGTTTTTTTGGCAAAAATTTTTTTTTCCTAAAAACAGGGAGGAGGAAATTCAGACTGGTGTACTCAAGGACACTTCAACATGTGGAAAGGTTGGGTATCAAACCACCAACCTTTGTCTTTTGTATGTGCATGAGAAAAAAAAACAGAACCCATTCATAAAGACTTTTCCCACAGAACTGTTTGGTGTTTAAGGTTTATTGAGATTACCTAAAGGACCAACAAGCTTTACTAACGTGGCCACATTGTCTCCTGAAGTGAGCAGAATTAGAATTGTACCCAATTTCTCTTCACTTTATTTAACAGGAAGACTTCAATGTTGTGCTTATCACAACGACATCTATAAGCTATCATTGGAAGCGTCTGTACCTGTGTGTCTTTGATAAAACAGGAGGATTAGTTTATTTGAATG